AAGCATTATGAACTAATCCTTGCATTAGTAGTTGTTAAAAACACAACCAGCTGTTGTGAGAAACCATAATGCAAGTTTAATTGGTTCAGTCGTAGTGCCTGAAGCACATGTCATAATTCAAACTAATATTCATATGCTTGGACGAGGGGGAGGTAATGGATCTTATCGAGGTAGTCAAGGTAAACTATTTGGTTTCTCTATATTTGGATTATATACATTTGTCAGACAATTTTAATTTATCTTGATTTTGCTTTAAACTCTTGTGAACCTATGTGTTTTTTATTCATATGTGTATATTTTAGAATTTGTCTGACCTAAAATACACCATGTTGCGATAAGTTTGAGATTTAGGGACCCAAATTCTTTTAAACTCTGGCATGAGCGATTGGGTCATCTTGGGCAAAATATGATTTGTCGGATTTTCTTAAATTAAATGGGGCATTCAAACCAAATCCGACCAACTGCATATCACAATTTCCCACCTTTATCTAATACGTGGTGAAGAAGCGAAACATTTCTCATCTGCGTATTATTTATTTGCAGTCCATGTTTCTATATCACCACCATAGCGTACCTCTATGGGACCTCGGTGAAGGTACATATATTATTTATGAAACTCCGTCAATAATTTAGTACCTATGGCCCATGTTAGGGGATCAATTTATAATTTAGTACGCTGACTGCATTTTTATTGAAGATCGATTCTCGACATTAGGGGGAGATTAGTGCCCAAAATACAAAATAATGTCAAGAAATTCCATTGGTGAAAAAGATCTTCAATATTTATATCCACGTACTAGTCAAACTGAACCAGAAGTTCACATGATAATCTGCCAAGAAAAGAGTGACTAAGCCCCATATTCATGTTGAATATATCATTGATGATTTGGTATGCCAGAAGCATATTGTGCCAGAAGCATATAAAACATGTTAGTGTAAAAGATAAAAGTCCGCGGCAAACTAAATTCTATATAGAAAGACAGTCACTCTGATAACCTCCATAAGAGGTTCATCCTGAAGATGGAATCTCCAGTAAATTGCACGTGCACTTGATAATCACAATACTGGAGATGCGGAACGGCCAAATCCAAACGTTAAGGGAAATGGCGAGGATTTGGTTGACATAAAATAAGAATTAAAGTGGCCACGAATTTGTGAAAAAGGAGAAATATATAATATAAATATAAAAGTTGTCGACAACATAGTTGCCTCTACATTTGCTCTTACTATCTCCGAAAATAATCTGGATCCAGAACCTAAGTCGGTAATAGAGTGCTTGAAGCACTCGGACTAGGTGAGATGGAAAGTGGCAATTGAGGCTGAGCTGAACTCGCTAAAGTATTTTTGAACCTGTAGTTCATATATCCCTGCAGGATATAATGGGTCTTCGTAAGAAAAATAAATGACAATTGTAAGGTGGTGAGATGTAAAGCGAGATTCATAGCTCAATGGGTTCACGCAGAGACCCGGCATCGATTTAGATGTAAAATATTCTCCTATTAGTGATTGTATTACGTT